AAATAACTGCACAGAACTTTAAAGCTTTATGATTATTCATATTAGCTAGGATGTCAACCTGCATAAATAATCTCAAAGAGAGATGCGTATGATAATTTTGAAAAAGGTTTAAAATGCCAAGGTCCTGGAACAAACCTAATCTTTAAACATTTAATAAGATTACATTAAACAACAGGAAAAAAAATGGTTAAATTTTATGTCATTGCACATCAATGTTTTAAAAAACTCGCCTCGAGGCGCGCCTAGGGCGCCCTTGAGGCTGGGCGCCATGGCTAACGCCTCAGTTTTGCTGGAGTGGGCGAAAGGCTTTGCCGGAGACGCCTAGGCGCGCCTTAGTGGGTTTTTTTTTTCTTTTTTTTTCTTTACTCCCAAACCCAAATTTTGGCTAGGATTTTAACTGCTTCATACCTCTTCCTTGCACTTTTGTCTCTATGCCTTTTTTCTGATTTTTATTTTTTATATAATGGATGTGTGTGTTGTTTGCATGCATTGTTATATATGTGCTCATTGTACTTTTCATCCTCTGTTTTATGCATATATAATATAATATATGTATATATATGTGTATATATATATTTATAATATATGTGTGTGCTCAGGGTGATTATTGATTAATAATCTTCTTATTTTTAATATAATATATGTGTACGCTCAGTGTATATATTAAAAAATTTAGGTCCCGTGAGGCTTCGCCTCACGCCTAGGCCGGGCTTCCCCTCGGACGCCTCGCCCATGCCTCACGCTTTTAATACACTGTTGCACATTGAATTTATAAACGATATTTCCATGTTTCTGGAAAATACACTTCTCGGAGAGAGAAACGAACACAGGTCAAGTAAGCATATGCAAAGATCAGGGCACAAGACAAATAACTTGAAAAGCTTACTCCAACCTGATACCAAAAAGCTGTTCACGATTCCACCCAAAAACATTTAGCTTTGCATCCGTCCTTACAGCAGCAATTTCGTGATGATTATCACTCTTTTGGAACTGAAAATGACATTATATAAACTCAAGCTTTGATAGTTAATTGTGAAGGATTGTCACTGTTAACATTGAGCTTATTTTAATAAAGTTAACAATACCTCCCCTATAAACTGGGAAACTGTCTCTTTAAACCACATCTTGTCTGTAAACTGGACTTCTTGAAGAACATAGTAGATCTGCAATAACATGAAATGAATGCATTAAAACCTTGATCTACTATCTACCAAACCACTCGTTCAGAACCAAAAATAAATAATAATAAAAAAACTTGCAAAAAATGGAAGGAAAGGATTAAAAAAATTAGTGAGCAATGGCACACTAATTGTGCATGCCTAGAAACTTCTCCCTGTTCCAATATGGTACAAACAAAAGCAATCAAAAAAGTATAAGATAGGCTTCTTAGTGAAGGGAACTTTTATAAAGAAAGGGTAACCACTTAACAACTTATTCTATTGATTAAAGAAGATTTACTCCATATTTTGCATGACATATTTTTAATCCAGTTATTCGTATTTAGAATGGTGCAAGATGTTTAGCGCATACTTTTGCAGCCAAACATATAACGTAGACGACAGAGAAAAGATTCCGAGTGTCTCAGTATGACTTGGCAAATGGTTGAACCTAAGGGATTATTTATTTGCCTTCAAATTTGTTTATTTTTGGATTGGGCAGGAGATCTGCTCACTGAACTGCTTGTGTGTGAGGCCATCAACTTTTGCAATTCATTTCTGTTTTTCACTAAAATTATTTTTTCACATGAAAATATAGTTAAGTCGACAAAATAACAACTATATGTGTAGGACAATGGATTCCATCAGCATTCAGGTATTGGCCTGATGTAAACCTATATGCATAAGCCTATGTCCTTACCAGACAAACTATGGTCAACTGGTGCAAGGACGTAGTACACATAAATAAAGCATCACATGCAAAGACTATAAACTTGCAACTCTGTGCAACCAAAAATGTTTTGAGCTAAGACCATTAAGTACCAATAGCATATCAAATTGTATAAACACACCCGAGAACGTGAAACCCCCTTCATCCAGATTAGAATACCCCTCCCTGATTGATCAGTAAAATATACAAAGGAAACTGAAGATACTCATCAGCTGACTCTGAAAAGAAAAGGAAAATAATACCACTTTAAATAGGTCTTCTGCACGTCCTGCCATGACTTTCCCTTGAATAATTATATGAGCACATGGATCTTTCTTTCACCGTACAGATGACGTAACTGGATTAACTGATATTCCTCCCGTTTTTCTTGCAATCAATTGATGAAGTTCAGCAAAAGTCATGTCTTTGTACCTAGGTTCACCAATGACAAACTGCCTAGAAAACCAAAATAGAGTCAAAGTATGGGTCATATGATTATTGAGTAATCTGAGAAAGGTGGCTGATATGATTTAATGCTCAGCCTTCTTAGTTTCTTAATTAATGACAGGGAATTAAAACTAGCTCAATGACGTAGTATGGCTCAGCATATCATGGTGCCAATGGCATAGTCTGACTCGTCAGGTCACTCATTGAGATAACATCTTACCAGAAAATAGGGACCAAGGGAAGAAGCTCTTGCTTTAGTGAACCCATATGGAACACAATGTCAACAGAAAGGACATCATTCGTGAAGAAATCATGTTGCAAGACTTTAACTCCATTTAAACACACAACCTGCATACAACAGATAGAAGATTTTTATTTGTTTCATTCTTTATTCTTGAAGGAACTAATCCATAAAGAAAACGTGTACAAACTGAAACACAATAAATCAGATTTTTAGGGTGATTAAGACCCTTGGGGGAACATGAATAGGTTTTGGAATGTCTTGCAGAGAGAGGCTTGGAACACTTCTCAAAGCTTCTGGTGGGTCAGGATTTATCTGCTTCAGTCGCAGCTCTCGGGTAGCATGTACCAGTTCAGCGAGATCATTTTCTGTCATACCGGCTTTAACTTTCCCCAAGATTTCTTCCTCATCTTTTTTATCACCAGAAAACTTTTGTGGATCAGGCTGTCCAAGAAGTCGAATGTTAGGAGTAATAAACAAACAAAGTTTGGCGAAAAATTCTTTGAACAATTACCTGCATTGCTACCACAACTTTATGAGGATTGTTCATTGTTCAAAATGAATTTCTTTATCAGAGGAGAGAAAACAGCTTTAGAGCCTTCCTTTTTTATTCTGGCATTCAGTTCCTTTAAAAAATTGCCATGCTTCAGTGGATCAAAGGGATCCATACCATTTATCCATTTATCCTATAGAGATTTAATATATTAAGTTCATGATTAAGAATAAATGGCTATTAATAAAGAATGTATATTATGAACGTAAAAGAAAACAAAGACGAGTATATCTTACAATGGACTGGAGCATTAAGAACAAGCCTTCAGGAAGTATTTTCTTATTATGTTCCCCGCAAATGAACTCCATTGTATTCATGGATGCTTCTACAGCATCTGTATCAAAGCCTTTCTCCGCAAATAGTATAAGTGTACTCGTGACTACTAGCTCTACCTTTGAAATGCCATCGCGAGAAACATTCATCACCAATATACTCAATAGAGGTTGAAGGAGATGAAAATTAACCTCAATAAAAATATCTCCATAGCCATATTCCAGCAACATTCTCCTCAATGGAGAAAGAATAATTGTCGAAATGAGATGAACAAAAACGTCAATTGTTCGCTCAGTCTCCACAGAGCAACCAACTGAGGCATACCATGTTTTTCTTCTCTAAGTCACCTGAATTACCAAAAGGATAGTTCTTAAGAATCCTGACTGACTCTGAAAATGGTCTGTGTGGTTTGATCCTTGATAAATTTGGTGCTGGAACTTGCATCAAACATGTCTATATTTCTCTAACAGCTTCTAATTTGTTTCTTTTTTCAATTAACCTCTGATTTAATTCTTCAAAACAAATTGGATATAAAACTGAAATAATGGGACATTTGCGATTTACAGACTTGACAGCCTTGTAAAGGAAATCTATTAAAGTAAGTGACTAGAAGGGATAAAATGTAGTAACAAATCCTGTAAGAGGCATTATATATTCATGATTTTAAATGGCCAGATTAATATCCTCAATACGCTCTTTTTTTAACTATAGATTCTCATCGAGTTTATTTTCAGAAAATTCGCCCACTATTTTATTATAGAAATGGCGAAAATAGTCTTGCAAGTTATATAGTAGGTAAACATAAGTTATTCACTTGTATGTACGTAAAACACAGATTTGTTTCAATACCACTCAAAATGTGCAGACGCTTAGTTGGATCATCATTTCCATAAAACCATATCCTTGCGTTACTGCGATGGTAGTTATTCCAGTGGAACTCCTGTAATTTTATTCTCAGAAATTCAGAAAGAAAAGCACTGTAGCACTAAAACAATATTTAAGGAATAATTCATAAAAATTTATCCTTCCGAATATGAAAGAAAAATGTAAGTCTGTTGGATCGATGACCAAACCATAAAAAATACATCTTAATTAACGTCACAAGACTCATAACACATGCACAGTTTTAAAGTTTATCATGGTATCTGATATATCAAAGAAATAATCATCCTGTTTAGTGAACACAACAAACCTTGAAGTCCTCAAATGTCAATTGGGGCATAATTTGTGGATCCCCAGCATGGTCAAAATTGTAGGTACTGTCCAGAAAAGCGGCCTGTAGAAAATGAGAAGCAGATGTATGATATTAGAGATATACTAAACAAATTAGGAAAAAAAAATATGAACACTAGGCAAGCAAAATAACCAAACTTGTAGCTCTGTAGTCATCAGTGGTAACAAATGATTGTGTAGCTTAATATGTCAGAAAAAGCGACGGGTGGTATATAAACACAACAAATGACCTCAACAAATCTGAATGTTACCACTGTAGTAAGCACACAAGTATGTGATTGTGATTATACAGCCACAAGCTATCATGTTTATGGAACCTAATCACAGTTAGTAAAGATGACGTTGTACGAAAACCTATACAATATGAATAAAAAGTACAGAGAAAAATTGCCTGTCGAGCAGTAAGCTTCAGTACATCTCTCGCCAGTGGCCAAAATTGGAATTTCTTCATCTGATTGAAGACAAGTCCTGAAATTATGAACAAAATTCATTTTACGATGAAATGGCACATTAATTTCGTGCTTGGAAATTAATGAAACTCATAATTAATTAAGAAACATAAAATTTTGCCAGCATAATGCAAAACCAAAGAAAACAAAACACAAGAGAACCGGGCACATGCATCAAATGTCCAACCTTGATAAGATAAATCTTCGGATGGGTCGTTAAGCTCATAACGCAAACCCTGTTGCCAGAAAATCTGGATGTCCTCCACACAATTAGGAAAGAAGACAGCATCGGGAGTAGATCAACGAAATTATGCAATTCCTGAAGCAGTTATGAAAACCATATAATTTTAGGAATACAGATTAATCAGATACAAACAACACAAATTAGACCCACATTGTAGTTTCGTTTCCAGTTTTCCAACCCGTATTTACCTTTGTAGTTGTGCAATTACCAGAGTAATAGGTCCTATCAGCCATGACTTTACAATACATATAAGTACTGAAGCTCTTTAAAACCAACACGTCAAATGGTCTTTTCAATGGGTACTTTCTTGACCCACATATCACACTCTGCTGCAATATGTTGGCCACTCCAGTCGAATCGTTCCTGCATCTCGACAGTTCAACAAATATATGAACAAAAGCGCGAAATCCACAACTGCATTACATGAAAAGGCAGAGATTTTTGGAAGAGAACTCACTGTATCGTTTGGAAAGTAATGCCGAAGACCCTTTTCTTGGAGGTGTTGGACAGAGACATGATTTGGGCACCCGTCTTTTTGTGCCGGAAAAGCACAGCGTTGGCGTTGCAGTATCCGATGAACTCTTCGGAGACCTTCTCGAAACCGAGCTTCTCCGCAACGTCATCTTGCACACCAGGAACAGGAAGCTCTAAGCACACCCAGAAAAGAAACAGAGAAAATAATGGTCGATTAATCTCAAATTTACAAAAATGGTAGCTTGTGAGGCTTTAACTTCAATTATCTGAACTGTTTAGTTTAGATTATTATTACAAAATATTAGCAAATAAAAAATATTTGAAGTATTTAATTGAGATTAAATAAATTGATGAATTCTATGTTTTAAGAAACATTAAGATTTCATCGTAACAATTAAATAGGCAAATGGTTTCGAATTGAATTGAAGTTTTGTAAGAATAATCTATAAATCAAGATTTACAGATAAATGATTAGAATCATTGAAGTTTGATAGAGAGTGAGTTCATCAAATGTACAACTAATCTCTATTTTTATAAAAGAGGGGTTCCCTTCTCTTAACGGCTAGTTCATAAATAATAGAAGATTTGTTGAATATTTTGGAAACTATTCAAACTACACCACTGAATTATTTTTTCTTTGATCATGGTCTCATTCTGTAACACCCCACCTACTTTATACTTAAAAAATATAAAAAAAATAAAAAATGGTTTTTAAATTTTAAATGGTGAGCCGTAGGGCCCACTCCTGAATTGTTGTCCCCAAGTCTCCTATCTCTCCCTCTCAGTTCTCTTTTCCTCTTATATTTCCCTGTACCTTTTCTTTCCTTTCTCTCCGGCGCCGAGAAAGAAACCAGACACCACCAGTGCCCTTTCCTTCACAAATCAAACCCCAAAATCATATATTTGGAATCCTTGAGACTTAACGAGCTCAATGGTACCCTTGCATGCGCCATCAGAGCATCGTGGAGTTTTCTGCCATTGAAGCCGAGAGCTTCAAAGCTCTAAAACTCGAACCCAGGTGAGAAGTGTGTTCCTTCTTCAAATTTATGGGTTATTCATGTTGGTTTTATGACAAAACTCGAGGGTTTCGACCTTATTTTTTCTCTGTGCCAATAATCTAGCTCCGACGACGAACTCCGACGAGTTCGAGGTCCATCTCTTCCCAAAACCTGCTGCAGTGCATCTGGGTAAGTTCTTATGTATATTTGTGAAGTTTTAGAACCCTTTATTCAAGCCCTAACTCTTGCCATCCTTTGTGCATGCATGTCCGGTTCCGACGACGAACTCCGGCGAGTTCGTGGGTGTGTGTGTGTGTACGTGGTGCAGGCGTGTGTGGTGTGTGTGTGCGTGAACCGTGTGTGTGTGTGTGAGCATGCTGTGCATGCCGTGTATGCATGCTGCGTGTGTGTGTGTTTATATATGTATATATATATGGAGACTTTGGATGCGGTCCCTAGTTATGAACAATCTTTGACTGAAACTTTGTTGGTTTTCAATTTTTGATCCAAGTCCCTAAAATTAATTGATAATTTATTTCTATGTACGTTACTATATTTTTTAAATTAAAAATTAAAATTTATAGTTGTTTATATTAATGAGATTTTAAATAAAAAACATAATTTGTGGGATTAAAAATATTAAAATATAAATATACTATTGTGTGTGTGTGTGTAAACATGGGTACATTCATAAAAAATAACCAAAAAATTATTGTATCAAAACATGGGTACATTCTTCAAAATGGGTACATTTAGCAAAAATAAAAATGGGTACAAATAAATAAAAAATTATGGGTACAATACAAATAAAACTTTAAAAAATATGGGCACAAAAAGAAATTAATATATGGGTACAAATTAAAATTGAAAGGAAAATTGGTACAAATTAAAAAAGGGTTGCAAATTAAAAATGGGTACAAACTAAAAATAAAAATATATGATAAAAAATTTAGCCATAAATATAAATATACTAATTGTAACATTTTTAATATTAAATGAATATATTTATAAATAAAAAATATTTTATTATTGAAATAATTAATGATATTATTAATACAAAGGACCTTGATCAAAAATGGAAAAGTAATAAGGTTTTAATCAATAGAGTAGTAAAAATAAGGATGAAAACCTAATTACTCCATATATATATGCATGTGTGTGTGCAGTGCATGCTTATGCATGCTGCGTGTGTATGTGTTTATATATGTATATATATATATGCATGTGTGTGTGCAGCGCATGCTTATGCATGCTGCGTGCGTGTGTATGTGTTTATATATGTATATGTATATATATATATATGTATATATATATATATATGCATGTGTGGGTGCAGCGCATGCTAATGCATGCTCTGTGTGTGTGTGTGTGTGTTTATATATGTATATGTATATGCAGGTGTGTGTGAGCAGTGCATGCTTTGCATGTGTGTGTGTGTGTGTGTGTTTGTTGGTGAGCATGGGTTTGGGCTTAAGCCCAAAACACCTCTTGTCCCTAACCCACTCAACCCAAAACCCATTTCCATTTCCTAAAATTCCATCTTTTGGGTAGTTTATTAAATTGTACATTTTCGTGCTTAGGTGAAGTTGCTAGTGAAGACTTCCTTAATCTTTTTCCGCACAATTCTGCTGCTTCGGAGTATCTGTGAGTGGACCACCTTCAAAAATTGCATGTTTTATTGATAGAATTGTATAATTTAATAGCATGCCTTGCAGATTGATTGATTTGAGGAATGCTTTACAGGAAGCATGATGATTTGATTATACGTGATTATATATATGTTTTCAATTATTTTCATTATATCGTATTTTCTATAGAACCCTCATTCTGGTAGACTATCTAATCGATGACGATAGGATGCTAAGAATGTTGTTTCAAATGATTTTTGAACACCTCTTCGTAATATAGAGGATCGATGAATTTATGCTACGAAGTTGTATTTTAGAGATGAATTATGTTTTGTGCGTATCTAGTGAACACTATGCCGCCTGGGGCGAGGATCTGGTGTTGGCATTGCGGCCGGGAGAAATAATCCCTAGCGAAAGGCTGAGGGACACGGAGACAGGCATTGAGTCGGGAGGGAGATATCTCTGGCTACGGGCACAGAGACTGAGGTGCAGGCATTGGGCTGGGAGTATTGTTATTCAGTGCACTCACTAGCAGCACAACTTGTGTTATGCTTCCTGATATGATTTCTGATATGATTTTCTGAGATTGATTTGCAGAGAGATATATGAATTATTTTTATGGCATGCTAGAGGTTTTGAGAAACCTATCACTTATTATTTAGTAGTTTTCATTATCTTAACTGTGGGGGTTAGTATGTTTATAATTGTTTTTGTATTATGTATGTATATAAACTTGGTCCACTCACCTTTTTTTTGCGCCTCCATTCAGGTCTTAGGGACGAGGACTACAACGCAATATACGAGGCATTCCCCTACCAGTAGCTGCGTCTATTTTCTTTGTGTGAAATCTGTAATAGTCTTTCTTTTTGAAATCTCGAATTAGAACATGCTCTGTGCACTCTAGTCACTTTCTTAAGCACTGTTTATTTCCTTTAGACCTTCTGAGAATTATATTTATACTTTCTCCTAATCTTTACTCTTGTATTCAATAAATAGCTTTCGTCACCTCGAGTGTCAGCCAGCACGTACCTATCCTGATGTTCGGGGAATATCGGGTCGGGGCGTGTTACATTCGAGGTTTAAGACTCAATTATAACTTGACTATTTTAATTAAATATGTTATTGACACTATGAAATCAATCATCATGCACCTATCAGCTTGTAATCGACTAATGCTTAGGCTTACTTTGTTTCTTTTACGCACCAAACTTTAAGGCTTTCCACAGTGGCCCAAAATTGAGTTTGATTATTATATATAAATGTTAAACTTATGTGAAATAACTCTTGGTATTTCATTTCTTACTCAATAAGAAATTACAATCAGGTTTATATACACTTTGGAAAATAGCTTAGTAACTAATTCAGCTTGGTTAACTTACTAAACTAGTATTAGTTACATGGACAATTGTAACAAACTTTTAACAATATTACAACTAGCTATTATGTAGCTCTTTACACCCCCTCAAGATGAACGAAGGAGGATCGAGGGAAAGCTTGGACTGAAGATATTGAAATCGAGCTTTAGGAAGAGACTTGGTACGTATATCAGCAACTTCGTGCTGAGTATTAATATATTGTATTCTAAGCAATTTGGCAAGAACGAGTTCACGAATGTAGTGATAATTAATTTCCACATGCTTTGTGTGAGCATGGAAGACTGGATTGGAGGCTAGAGATATTGCATAAACATTGTCACAACAGATTTTAGGAATAGTAGATAGTTGGAAGGCCACATCTCTGAAAATCTTACACACCCAAGTTAATTCAGCTGCAGTATGTGCAAGATATTTATATTCAGCCCCGATGGATGAACGAGCAATAGTATGTTGCTTTTTGGCACTCCAACTAATCAAATTTATGCCCAAGTAGATGCAATATCCACTGGTGGATCGTCGATCAAACACACAGCTTGCCCAATCTACATCAGAGAAGGCTGTAAGATGCAAGGGACTTTTCATGAACCACATACCTTGATCAAACGTGCCTTTAAAAACCTCAATATCCTTTTGACAGCTTGAAAGTGTGAATCTCATGGATAATGAAGGAATTGGCAGACCTAATTCACTGCAAAGGAAAGATCAGGTCTTATCCAAGTAAGATATTGTAAGGCCCCTACTAAGGATATGTACTCTGTTGGATCAGCCAAAGGGACACTAACATGATCAAGCTTTTGAGTTCCTAAAGGAGTAATACATGGTTTACATCTGTCCATGTGGGTCTTGACTAAGAGATCTAAAGTATACTTACTTTGAGAAAGAAAAATGCCTTCAGGGGATATGTGAACCTCTAAGCCAAGAAAGTAATGTAGGGTACCTAAATCCTTAACTGGAAATAAAGAACTAAGCTGCTAAATGAATTTTTGACACAGAGAGGTATTAGGATCGGTTACCAAAATATCATCCACATAGACAAGAACTATCACAAGAAATGGTTGAAGTTTCACAAATAGAGAGCAATCAGACTGTGAATTTGTAAAACCAAGAGAGACCATAGTTTGAAATAGCTTGTCATACCATGCCCTAGGGGCTTGCTTTAAGCCATTGAGCGATTTGTTGAGTTTGCAAACATAGGAAGGGTTGGAGGAATCAATGAAACTGAGGGGTTGTTGCATAAAAACTTATTCTTGAAGGTTGCCATGAACAAAGGCATTGCTAATGTCAAGTTGGTTTTAAAACCAATCATATTGCACAGCAAGAGTGAAGTATGCAAATGGTAACAGGTTTGGCAACATGACTGAAGGTATCTTTGAAATCAATGCCTTCATGTTGATGAAAGCCTTTAGCAACAAGGCGGGCTTTTTATCTATCAATGGAACCATTAGGTTTCCTTTGATCTGAAACACCTATTTGCAGTCTACCAAATTTTGATGTGGAGAAGAGGGCACAAGAGTCCAGGTGTTTGTGGATTGAAGAGCCTGAAACTCTTCAAGCATTGCTTGAGTCCAGTGAGCATGTTTGGAGGCTTGTAAATGAGTTGTAGGCAAAAATGAACTTGGATCAATCAGATGTTTGGTAGCTGCTAACACCTTAGGCTTGAAAATTCCAGCTTTGGACCTTGTTATCATGGGATGAGTATTTGTTGGATTTGAGACTGGCCCTAAACAAGGAGAAGTATGATGCTCCTGAGATGTAGTAGGTTCATAAGGTTGCTGTTGAGAAGACACTAATTGTGTTAAAGAAGTGTCTCTGGAGAAACATGGACTCTGTCTCGAAGATAAGATTGATCTTGGTGTTGCAGGTGTGTGTAAATAAGGGAATGGCAATAGAAACTCAGTTGTTGTAGTTGGTGTAACAGAAGAAGACCACTGAGAAAAACAAGTTGTGAGTGAAGAGAGATCTTGAAATGGAATATGTTCTTCATTAAAGAGCACATGTTGTGAGATACATACCTTATTAGAGAGCACATCTAAACACCTATAGCCTTTATGTTGAAGACTATATCCCAGAAAAATACAGTGTTTACTTTTACCATCCAACTTAGATGTCACATAAGGTTTGAGCCAAGGATAGCAACTGCAACCAAATATCTTCAACTTGGAATAGTTAGGGGTTTTTTTTTTTTGAAAAAAATCTCCCATTGAGACTTGTAGGAACCAGAAATAGGTAGCCTATTGATAAGATATACTGTAGTAGAAAAGGCTTCTACCCAAAATCTGTGTGGAACCTCAGAACAAACAAGAATAGTCCTTGCAGTTTCAGTGAGATGTATGTGCTTACGTTCAACACACCCATTTTGCTCAGGTGTGTGTGGACAGCTGAATTAATGAGAAATACCATGCTGGAGTAAGAAATTAGTAAATGTAGAACTTGAAAATTCACCCCCTGAATCAGTTCTGAAAGTCTTGATTTTATTTCCAAGTAGATTTTCAACATAGGTTTTGAAAATTACAAAGATGGAGAATATTTCAGACTTTGCTTTTAAAGGGAATAACCAGTTGTATTTGATAAACTCATCCACAAAGAGTACATAGCACTTATAGCCACTGACAGATAGACCTCAAACATCACAGTGAACTAATTCCAAGCTATGAGAAACAGTAGTGGAACTATATGAAAAGGGCAACTTGTGGTTTTTACCTATTGCACAATCTTCACAAAAAAAAAAACTTAACAGAAGCATAACTATCTTTAACAAGTTTATGAGTATGTAGAATCCTTCTTAGAATGGATGTGGAAGGGTGACCAAGCCTGTTGTGCCATTGTTGTAAAGAAGCTTTGGTGCTGACAAGAGCAGAGTGTGAAGCTTTGAGTGGCTGACCTTGGAAGGGATAGAAACCATTCTTGACTGAGCCTCGAAAAAGCATCTTCCCAGTGGAACGGTCCTTGATGACAGAACCATCAGAATCAAGAGTTAAAAAGCAATAATTGTCCTTTAAAAATTGATACGCAAAGAGCAAATTAAATTGCATTATTGGGACATGAAGAACATTAGTTAAGCGAAAGGCAGCATATGGGGTATTAAGAACAGATGAACCAGTGTGATGGGTTTTCATACCTTTTCCATTACCAACATAAACTTTGTCTTCACCAGAGTCTGAGATAGGAGAAAAGATTGCTGAGATATCATTAGTAACATGTGAAGTGGCTCCAGAATCTAGAAACCGTTAAGGCTGAGAAGAAGATGTCGTATTGACACACATCATGGCAAGTTGAGCAGGTGGTATTTTACCAGCAAAAGCATGGTTCATTCGAGCATAGCAGTCAATGGCCTTATGATTAAAGGAGTTGCAAATTTGACAGGGAGATCGGTTGCCAGAATTACGACTAGAACCACCAGAATTTCAACTGTAGTTGCCAATATTACCATTGTAATTACCATAGTCATTGCCATAATTGTTGTAGTTGCCACGATAATTGCCTCTTCCTCTATTGTTTTTTCTGAAAATTACCTTTGCTACGATTGTTTCGCTAAAAATTGGTGCGATTATTGTAGTTAGAGTGTTGAACAACATATGCTTGGGAGAGAGAGGGCGTGGGTAGAAGACCTTGATGTGGTGGCGGAGCTTGAGCAGCAAAAGCTTGGAAGGGTTTTGTAACAGAAGAGGAAGGGGATTTCTTCTTCTAATGCATGAAAAGTTCTTTGTTTAAGAGTAATCCATGAAGTTCATCTAATGAAGTAGATGAAATCTAAAGCATGATTGAATAAATGAAGGATTTGTAATCATCAAAGAGACCATTGAGAGTGACAACAATAAGATCCGATTCTGAAATTGGGGCTCCGGCAGCCATAAGAGCATCTGAAATGCCTTTGATATGTTATAGATAATCAGATATAAGGAGATCTCCTTTCTGAATCGCATGAAGACGTGATCGAAGCTGATGAATGTGAGTAGCTGAGACTTCACCAAAATGTTGCTTAAGATTTTGTCATAACTCTCGAGATGAGGTTACACCAACGGTGAACAGAATTAGGTAGAGTTGAATTCAACCAGATCAAGATATTTTGGTCCTTCTCATACCATATCTTGAAATTAGGGTTAGGAATTCCAGTACACCAGATTGATCAAGAATGAATGGTGGTGGACATTTTTCCAATCCATCGATGATACCAGTGAGTTTGTATCGACGGAAAATTAGAGCAAAATGAGCTTTCCATGCCAGATAATTGTCTCTCTTGAGCTTTGTAGGAACCAAACAACTGATATTTTGGATGGAGATCGAAGAGATCGAAGAGAAATTAGAAGGATTAGGGTTCATCGGAGCAGAGTTTGATGAGAGATGGGTGGAATGAGAGGCGAAAACTTCTAGATTCGAAGACGAAGAAGGAGAATACGCCATTGTCGATCAAGATTTGCAGAGAAATGGGCAAATTTGATCAAAGAAATCGAAGATTGCAGGGGAAGCTAGGATTAGTGTGTGAGCAGAGAGGCGGTTGATACCATATGTGAAATAACTCTTGGTATTTCATTTCTTAGTCGATAAGAAATTACAATCAGGTTTATATACACTTTGGAAAATAGCTTAGTAACTAATTAAGGTTGGTTAACTCACTAAACTAGTATTAGTTACATGGACAGTTGTAACAAACTTTTAACAATATTACAACTAGCTATTGTGTAGCTCTTTAAAACTCACCTTGATCATTATGGAAGACTTAAATTTCAGAGCTCTCGTAGCATGACAGCAACCACAACTCAATATTGTAATATCTTAGCATTGTATTATTAATCCAAGATGTTAAGTAATGTTAAACTCAATTCATGTAAGGTCATCTCAAACCGAAGGCTGGCCAGAGGGGTCATTTTAACCTTCTGGCCATCCAAGATATTAATATTTTAATGAACAGTACATGATCATATTTGCCTCCATCTCCAACCGAGGGCCAAAGGGCCATAGGGCTTGTTTTAGCCTTGTCACAAAAAACCGTCTCCAACCAAGGGCCAAAGGGCCATAGGGCCCAACATAATTTATTATTTAAATTTAAAAACTACAACTTAAATTTAAAAACAACAACAACTTATATTTAAAACTAAAAATTAAATTTAAAAACAACATTAACTTAAATTTAAAAACTACAACACCTTAAATTTAATATCCATAATCAACACATCTTCATCATCCGCCATTGTAGGATATAGTCAGAGGTAAACAACTGTCGTTGGGTCATAATATCATTTTGTTTCCTATCAAAATAGGTCTTACTCAATGGAGTGTAATTCGAAGTGTTCCTTTCCATATTCTTATCATCCATCTCTCTTGTATTTGTTTGGCCCGTTCTTCATGCTTACGGATCCTTTCTTCCACAGCAATGGCATTTTGATATGCCATTAATCGCAATGAGGCTGCCACTTCTTGTTGAGCGGCGTAATCATCACTTAACTAGCCGTTATTTTTGAATTTTTTTTTTTTTTACAAATTTTTTTCCCTATAACTTCATTTTTTTTTAAATTCTATTTTTTTCTATAACTTCCTATTATCTATTCTAAAATTGAGGAAGGATTTGACTGTAGCTTAGCTACAGTCAAAAGTTTGCCCTTTGATTTTGCTTTATTTACGCCACTGCTATCATATCTGTGGCTGAGTTGAAGGGTAATTATATAAAATTAGGAGGGTAATATTGTCTCTGAACAGCTTTCAATATATTTACAATTTTGCCAGCTTGTTGTGAGATGGGCCCTTGATTTTACATTATTTACATATCTGCCATTTTCGAAAGGCATGGGCTGCAGAGACGGAGAGGGAAATAGGCGTGGGATGGCAGGGAGGCAAAGGGACAGGGAGGAGTAAAGGCTGCCATGAAAGGGGGTTAGGGTTGAATTTTTCTCCTCAAATCAAGGGTTGGTGTCGGTGATTGAGAGATTGAGAGATTGAGAGATTGAGAGGGATGGGAGAGAGACAGAAACACACCCATTTGGACTTCATTTCCCCTTTCTCAGACCCTAGCAGCCACAACACCAACTCCCTGATCTCTGCAATAGCGTCGCCGTTGGCTCCTGCTTCCGAAAACCAAAACCGCACAAACCTGGATTAAAGATGGCTCTCAGAGGTCTTCAAAGCTCGATGGGTACATGAAGAGATTGGAAGATGAACTCAGATTTCTTCCCATTTTCTCCTTCCCCAAAACCCGCCACTGTGCTTCCCTCTCCAACGCATTCGGATCGAACGCTCCGATCACGTTCTCTCCTCGGTCGATTCACCTCCGGGTAAGCGAGATCTGTAGATATAACTGTTTGTGTATGTATAGGTTACAGTGGGAGAGATATATATATATATATATATTTGTTTGTGTATTTGTGTGATTTTTAATGGATTTGAATTTGTGTGTGTATATATTTGTATAGGTTGGAGATCGGAGAGGAGAGACGGCGGCATGGCGAGTAGAGTAGACCACGAAAACGACTACCTGTTCAAGATCGTGTTGATCATGACTCTGGTGTGGGCAAATCTAACATTCTCTCTAGATTTACCAGGAATGAGTTCTGCTTGGAGTCCAAATCCATCATCGGAGTCGAGTTCGCCACCCGAACTCTCCAGGCAAGTTCGCTTGCTGAGTTTAATCTTGATGTGAGAGTTGATTTGTATTTCAATTGTTTGATTGTTCGCAGTGTATGCGGTATTTGTTAGTGATGGATTGGATTCTATGCAGTTTAAATTTCAGGGGGTTTCAGAATTTGAATGATTTTGGTTGAAGTTTTGTTTGGTGGCCTGGAGATTGTGATGATTGTTTGGATTTTGTTTCGGGATTTACGTTGTTTAGAGTACATCGAAAAATTTGTTACTAATAGACTGGTAAGCGGGATCGAATTCTCTTTTTAGTACTTTGTTTTTAGATGGTTATCAATGGTTAAATAAGCATGATGAACCATTGGGATAAACATCCATCTTTTTGTTTGACGGAACAGGAGATTTACTTTACACTAGAACTGGTTGGTAGATTCTGTCTCCAGGAGTTTGATCATTTTGCTGTTATTGATCTTTAAGTTTATACAACACACTAAGGATGGATTGCAGAGTTCAAGAAAGAGGAGTTGATTAATGAGCACTTACATGTTGACGCTTAAGTTTGATTCTTAATTAAACACAACTTCATATCGTGGAAGTTTATGTGGAAATACAGCTTTGGTGTCTGCATCCTTTAGCATAATAAACGAGTATGATACACTAACTGCCCAATATTATTGTTTTTAAAGACTGTTGGTTAGTTAGATTTCCAATAACTGGCATTTGGTTTTTTTAAATGTTTACCCATATTTTCACTTTTTATTTTAATTTATGGATTTTTGGCGTCTGATTTTGGTTTTTGCTGTTTTCCCAGTGATTGACTTCTTTGGCATTTAATTTTGGTTTTTGATGTTTTCTCAGGGATGAATCTCTTCATTTTGCGCCCTTAGTTCTCAATTGGATTCACGGTAAACACCAAGAAATTTAGAGGTACGAAAATTTCATTTTTTTTGTGTTTTTTATTTATTTTCAGTGTTAATTTCTGATTAAATTATTATGAGTTTGCTTGGATTCCAGAGTAAAAACCTTGAAACTTAAAGGTATGAAAATTTCAAATTTTTTATTTTTATTTATTTATAGTGTTAATTTCTGATTAATATTATTCTTCATAAACCCACTTAGAATCTTGATCTGAGTTTTGCTTAAACTCAACTTGGGGTTTTATAATTTTTTAGTTTTATAATTTTCTGGTGCACCTGTGGTTAAATACAACTGAATTTGATTTTATCCATAAGTGCAGATCTTACCCCGTAGTGCTCAATCCAGAGAATTGGTACTCATAATCAATAAGATTCATACGGGTTATTGGTATCAATTTTGGTTGCAGCAATGCTATTCTTGCTGAACACCTGCCATGTAAGTGATTCAGATTGTAGTAATTTCCGTACAATTTAACACTTTTGTGTGGAATTGGTGCAACTTTTGGGGTTTGTGCGATGTTATTTCCGACTCAATATCATGGTCTTCAGTAACTCGGCTGGTAATTTTTGGCATAATCCATTTGAAAATTTTAATTGTTTTTGTTGTTGGTTATGTTTATTTGTCGAAGTAATGATTTTGGTTTCATGGTCAGGGCTTTATGAGTATGATCATGATGCGTCAAAAGCTAGGGAGCTTGAAGTGGCAATTAGAATGAAAGTGATAATACATAATAAGTGTTTGGTTTTTCTTTTTGTTTTTGTTTTTTTTTTTTTTTATAATTTCTGCAGCAAATTTTTTGAATTTCTTATTTTTCAGACACCAAATTCCATTTGAAAAGAGTAGGCTGGTTAAGTAGCTTTGATTTATTTGTTGGATGTCAGCATGTGGGACACTTGAGTTTGAGTACCATTGTCTGTTCGTCTGTTCCAATATGATAATGCAATGTTAATTTAGGTTATAATGATGAATCTTTGTGTTTAAGATTTTTTTTTTATTTTTTATTTTTATTTTTATTTTTTTATGACAGATGTGTGAGGCATTAGCCATGATTTCATCTGGGCAATTACGAAATATCAAAAAGTATCCTCTTTGTCAAGGATAACACACTCCTGCAGGAACTAGACATCCCAATATTTTGCAATCTGATTACAGATTATCTACCAAAAGTACATACCTCTATCAATTATATGATATTTTTAGTGGCTTTGTTCTATGTTAGATATTGACATACAACATTAAAATCTCGATCATGGTCCACTAAAAAAGTATTAAACGTGTTATAAATAGAAACACATTCTAACATGGATTTCTTTTTACAATGGAGACCAATATTCAGAACACAGTGAACAAGTTTTTACAAGCTAATCCTGCTGGTAATAGAAACCACATCCTTTGTCTCTCTGCTTACTTGCTTTTTAACATGGAGAGAAATTTAATCTGTATTTCAGAATTAGTGGTCTTCTTGATGTCCAACTGTAGGGGTCTTGAAATTGTATTTTGGAATTAGTGATCTTGATTCAGAACAAAAGGACTCTGAACAGTTCAAAGGTTTTGGGAAAGAAGTGCTTTTTAATCAGGCCAATTGGGTCCTCCTAGCAGTACAACCTCGAAAAAGTTTTAAGTTCAAGTCCGATAGTTTTGGCAAGATGCAAATGGGTTTTGATTGGGAAGGTAACATCATCCTATATATGTTTTGAAGCAATTTACTTATTTGCATTTTTCAGTTTTATGTGTCCCAAGAGTTTTCAAGTGTTAATAAGGACCTCGAAAAGGTTAATCAGTAGTGCTTTAGTGGTACAAAATGTGAACATCACTTTGAGTGATTAATATAAATCTCTACGCTTTCATTTTGAATGTTGAAGTTGAAAATTGCTTTGGTTAGGATACTAATGATCAGAAAATAACTTTGACTAAATTTCTTTTTTGTTGTTTTCATATGCTTCTTCTGTGGTGGGTTTTGAAATTTCAGTTGTGGAAGTGAAATTCACTTCTCAAGATAGTTACGATAATGCCTATTTTTCTCTCAAAACTCTTTCAGCTGAGTTGCCACAATCAGTGATTGAAGCTCTCCATAACGAGTCAGACATCAGCCTGATACACTACTCTCACTCTTTCCTGCTTTTAATTTTGATTGTTTATGAACTGTGTACTGTTTGCTTTTTATTTGCAATTTGTTGCTGAATTTTATTTTGATAATTTGTGAATTTTGTTTTATTTTTTGTTCGACATCTTTTAAGGGTTATTGCCCACAAATTCTCTTTAGGCCAAACAATAACGTTAGAAGAGCTACGGATTTCCTTTCAACTGGTTCCCTCTATTGAGTGCAAACGTGCTCCTAATATACTTGAATTGATTCTATGTTAGTATCTTTTCTGGGATTGTTTGTGGTTTTGTGAGCATTACTTAGGTAAAACGTGCATTATCTAAATTGCTACATTTAAGAATTCGATTGTATTGCTACAACAATTTCAATTAATTTTTGTGTGGATATTATTGATGTAGGTTGTCGATTATAGTTTGAAAACCCGCAGCAAAGCGCGGGCATTCCTGCTAGTAACTTCTATTTCACAACATTTGTTTCATTTTTTTTTAAATTCTATTTTTTCCTATAACTTCCTAAGCCATTATACAACATTAAACAATATGAAACAACATTAAATAACATTAACCAACATAAAAATTATACAACATAAAAAAAAAAAACGTTTAACAACATGAAACTTAAACAGCATTTTTGAATTCTCATTTTTTTCCTACAAATTTAAGTTGTTGTAGTTTTTAAATTTAAGTTGTTGTAGTTTTTAAATTTAAATAATAAATTATGTTTGACCCTATGGCCCTTTGGCCTTCAGTTGGAGACGGTTTTTTGTAGCTGGGCTAAAACGAGCCCTATGACCCTTTGGTCATCGGTTGGAGATGTAGGCACATATGGCCCTGTACTGTTCATTAAAATATTAATATCTTGGAGGGCCAAAGGGCTAAAACGAGCCATCTGGCCCTCGTTCGGTTGGAGATGGTCTAAGTTCTTGTCCTGAAGAAGCTCGTGTTCAAGAGGCGGCTAGACTCTACTGAGGTGCACCTAAGAGTTTTTATCATGGATGGCCTAAATTTAATCCCCAATTTCATAAATGGTAGTTTTTATAAAAACAAATTCAAACATAGCCAAAACCACAAGTGAATAGACTCAAATACCCTCAAACTTAAAAAACAACAGAAACCTATGTATTAAAAGCGTGAGGCGTGGGCGAGGCATCCGAGGGATAGCCCAGCCTAGGCGTGAGGCGAAGCCTCACAGGACCTAAATTTTTTAATATATACACTAAGCGTACACATATATTACATTAAAAAAATATTTTTAATCAATAATCACCCTGAGCACACACATATATTATATATATATATATATATATATATATATATATATATATATATATATATATATATAATAGAGGATGAAAAGCACAATGAGCACACATATAACAATACAAGCGACATCACACAAGTCTATTATATAAAAAAATAAAAATCAGAAAAAAAAAGGCAGAGAGATGATAGTGCAAGGAAGAGGTAAGAGACAGTTAAAATCCTACCCAAAATTTGGGTTTGGGAGTAAAAAAAAAAAACTGACATTTGTGAAATTAGAGACCAACTACTTTTGGCCATATATGATAAATTCTCCTGTAATAATTATCGAACTTTCACCATATACATGTCATCATCAAAACTAACTAATTAATGAATCTTCACAATATGGCATATACATGTCATTGGCTTTCAAGTCTAGTTACTTGAAAGCCAAGACAGAAGGTGGGAGTCAATGTTGCAGCAATTTCTGAACTAGTCCTTCAATTTATGGTGTAGTGCTATCCTTGAAGAGGGGTTCTATTTCTATCTTTAATTTCAAGACTTTAGGTTTAGGTCGCTTCTTTAGGTTTATGATAGGCTAGGCCGAGTCGTTAGAAAGTGTGAAATCTAAACTAGTCTAATTTACGGAGAGTATTTAGATTTGAGTGCGAAGGGCGAGCATACTGCCTCTGTCATCTAGCCCAACCACATCAACAATTCAAAGAGTTTAGGTCGCTTCTGTAGGTAGTACGAAGAAAACAATTTCCTAGCAAAATATTTTATATTGGAAACTGCAAATACAAGTTAGGTGTTTCCCTTCAGACAAAAAGTTGTAAAAGGCATGAGGAAACTTTTACCTAAGTAAAGGTTACCCAGGAATTGTTCAGTAGATAGTTACTGTCAAAGGTTCCTTCATAGCTACGGAAATCCACAACGGTAAACGCTAATATCTGCTTGCGGCCCCTGCTCTGCAGTAACATGTTTAATTATTTGCATTCCATGACAGAAGAAGCCCATATCCTAAACAAGGTGAAATTCAAGTGTTCCGAAAATAGCCACTGTTAATTTGCTGCTTTTTCTGAGAGGTCTCATCGAGTGAAGAGAGGTGCTATCAATTGTTTGAAGAGTTTAGGTCGCTTCTTTACTGCTGCTTTGATATCCAATGGCGATCCCACTGCAACCACAACCCCCTTATATTTAACTGCGTCGAGTGCATCTGCAAATTTCTTGAAATCCTTCAAGCTGTGATCAAGGGTGAAGGAATAACAATGTAAACATGTTGTGTCATCAATGTAAATCTTAACATGTATGCGCCTTATGTTGTCGTAAGAAAATCTAAATACGAATCAAATATTAGCTTCTGTTACATGCATCATGTGAGCCGTCCATGGCCGCCAGAAATGAAATGGAACTGCAATGATTCAATGAAAATGATGATGCTTTCACTTGGACAAATGTAAGTAGTAAATTTTCATCAACTAATGTCAGATCAACATGTACGGCTTCAAATTCCCTTCTCTTTGTCATCCGAATCTAGTTATAGCAGTAGTACTGCTTAAAACTTCATAAAAATTTTGTAAAGATGACAGCCTTAGTACAGTGAAATCCCTCGAATGCAATAGTTAATATCAGCTAAAACAAATCCTGTCCCTCTTTACCTGGTTGACAATATCTCTTTATGTCTCTTTTGCCTTTCTTCTTCTGTGACTCCCATTAAATAGTCCTCCAGGAAACTGCAGCAAAACAAAACAAAAGGAATGGGGAGAAAAATTAGGAGTAAACTCAGAAAAACTTGTGAAATGATCATCACCCAGCTCTTGCGGAAGGTTGTGTGCATTAGATTCAAATGTGGAATTATGGGGTTCATACACTTTGTCGTTCCCATCAGCAGTCATATTAACAATTAGCCGTTGGTGTCAGTTCACACTATTTACTGTTACGATTCTGATGAGATTTACTAGTAGCTAAGTGGGGTTGTGATCGGCATCAATTGAGTAATTGAGTGGTATTAGTGTAATAAGGTTGTTAGGAGGTTATTGGTATAGTTGTAATTGGATAAGAATAGTTAGAGAACAGAAACCATATAGTGAGGTTTGTAAGAAAACAGAAAACAGTTGAGAATAATACTGAATTCCTTTTGTCTTTCTCTCTCTCTCTCTCTCTCTCTCTCTCATGGCTTCTTGAGTTAAGGTTGATTGAGGGTTTATCATTTACAAAACAAGAAGTGATGTCCACATACCTACTACAACTTTTTCCATCACGAAGCGGGCACGAATCATCTCTGAGTGCCTGAATGATGGCCCTTCTAAGAGTATTATCATCTATTTCTAGTTGTCGTAGAAGATCTCCAGTTCCATCATATACGTCAAGCGTCTTTAACAACTTGGGGTCCCCATCAGACAAGAAAGAGAATACTCCTACAAAACAATTGTCAGTGAGGTTTTCAAACAGCAAGTCCATGCAAATTTATAACATGGAAAATTTTTACCTGTGTAAATATCAAAGTAACATGAAGCAGATGCTCCACCGCTAATTCCTACCCGATCACACAACCATGCATCATCAATAAATTTGGAGATAACATGTGTACTTCCATTAAGCTGATAACCAGTGTCATGAATGTTAACAGACTTTCCAACATAATTAACCTGTATAAAGCAAGAATTAAGAACAATTAATATGAAACCAAAACCCAAAAGCCCATATACAAAAAGGAACCGCGCAGAAAAAAGGATTATATTCGAACCTTAATAGGCATTATGATGGCCTCATTTTCGGAAGGTAGTCTACCTTTCCATGTAGTTCTTCTTGCAAATGGAGACTTATGAGGCAGCAAATCCAGAAATTTCTTAATAAACTTCTCAGATTTGGTAAGATTCTTCCTTTCAGAAATCATATTTATGAGGCAACCTTTTCTACAAATTATGGACTTCCGAATCTCCTCTAGGGATGAAGAAATGCCATCCCAATCTTGATCAACTTTCTCTCCAAGCACTTGCAGAAACTCCAATTGACTAGGTACAGAGAATATACAAACTGTATGAGAAACTACATCAATCCCATTACTTCTCATAATTCAATGCTGAATTATCCATACTAAAAGAAACTATTTGTGCAAGACTTGAAAGCTTTCTGATTATTCATATTGAACCTACACAAGTTATTCCTCATCTCAAAGAGGGATGCACAGGATAGTGCAAATATTTAAAATGGCAACGTCAATAGACCTAAATTTTTAAATCCTTCAGTAAGATGTATATTAAACAACAAGAAAGAAGTGGTTAACTTTTATGTCATTGCAAACCGGAAATTATAAATGATTCCAGGTTTTCTAAAAATACACTTCACACAAGAGGAACAGACACAGGAAAAGTAAGGATGCATAGATTAGGCCAGAAGACAAATAACTTGAAAAGCTTAATCCAACCTGATACCAAAAAGTTGTTCACGAATCCACCCAGAAATATTTAGCTTTGCTTCCATCCTCGCAGCAGCAATTTCATGATAATTAGCAGTCTCTTCGTACTGAAATGACATAATATAAACGCAAGATTAGATAGTTAATTGTTAAAGATCAGCAATCTTAAGTTGTTAACATTGAGCTTTTCTGAATAAAGTCAATAATACCTTCACTATAAACTGGGAAACTATCTTCTTAAACCGCCTCTTGTCTGTAAACTGTACTTCTTGAAGAACAATCTTGATCTGCAATAACATGAAATGAATGCATGAAAACCTTGATTTATTGTCTACCAAAACAACTATTTGAGAAACAAACAAAAAATTCAAATCAATATAGAAGAAAATGATAAAAAATTTAGTGGGTAATGGCACACCAAGTGCATGCCCAGAAACCTTCCCCTGTGCAAAAGTAATTGAAAGTGTCAAATTATAAGATCAGTTTCTTAGTGAAGGGACTTTTATAAAGAAAGGCAAACCACTTCAAAACTTATATCAATTTACTAATGAAAATCATTGTCAATTTTGCATGGGACATTTCAAATCCAGTTATCCATAGAATGCATCAAGATATTTACTCCATACGTTTTACAGCCCTAACATGTAACGTGAGACGAAGAAAAGATTCTGAGGTGTCTCACTGTGACTTGGCAAATGGCCTAACCTAAGAGATTATTTAATTTCCTTAAATTTTTTATTTTTATATTTTGGATTGCTGGATGAACTGCTTCATTTCATTTCTGTTTTTCACTAAAATTATTGTTTCGCCAAAAATATATAGAATTGCTTCATTACATGAACAAAATAACGATTATAATGTGTAGGAAAATGGATTCATTCCGCACTCAGGTATTGCTCTGATGTAACCTATACGCATAAGTCTGGACAAACTATTGTCAACTGGTGCAAGGAAGTAGTACACAAAAATAAATCATCACATGTCTTTGTTAAGAGATGCAACCGATAAGGACTCATAGCGAAATAAATTATATAAACACACCCAAGAATGTGAAACCTAGTTCACCCAAGTTCGAATTTCCCTTCACCATTGATCAGAAAAAAAACAAAGTAAACTGAAAATGCTCATTTGCTGGCTCTGAAAAAAAAAGCAAAACAATACCAGTTCAAATAGGTCTTCAGCACGTCCTGCCATGACTTTCCCTCCAACAACTACATGGCCGCATGGATCTTTCTTGCACCGTACCGACAAAATCATTGGATCGATTGTTAGTCCTCCCGTTTTTCTTGAAATCAAGTGACGAAGTTCATCAGAACTCATGTCTTTTGTATCCATCTTCAGTAACGTGAAACTGTCAAGAGCATCACAATATACTAAAAAATTAAGATCAAATTTGGCTTAAAAGAATTTTTGTTTTTAAAAAATGACTGTTCTTCAAGTAAGAAACAGTTCATTAAAAGAAAAATTTAATCACAAGTTTCTTCTTAAAGATACCCGCAGTTATATAATTCTGCATAGTTCCCAAGTAACTGAAGCTGATACCTTTTCTATGTCACCACAAGAGTGTCAGAAATTGGAGACCATGTTTTGTGTACATAAGTATCGGACAAGAAAGTTATCAATGAAACTCGGGGGTTCTACAAATATTACAAAATTGCGTTTAAGGCTGACCTGAGCATAGATTTCTCAAAGTTAGAGAAAACATAAAAATATTCAATCAAAAAGGGGCTCTCGCATATCAAATAATCTGTTTTTTTTTTTTAAGTTTCATATCAAGTAATCTGAGGGAGGTGGTCATTTATGAGGATGAAACTCAACCTTCTTAATTTCATAATTCATGGTAGGGTTTAAAACATCTTACCAGAAAATAGGTACCAAAGGAAGAAGCTCTTGCTTTAGTGAACCCATATTGAACACAATTTCAGTGTAAAGGACATCATTCGTGAAGAGTTCATGCTGCAATACTTTAACTCCATTGACATACGCAACCTACATACAACAGATAGAAAGCTTGTTATTATTTGTTCTTGCAGGAACTACACCATAAATAAACTCGTATTAATCATAAACACAACAAATCAGAAATTTAAGGTGATTATAACCTCTGTGGGAACATGAATAGGTTCCTTTGGAAGGTCTAGCAGAGATAGGCTTGGAACACTTCTCAAAGCTTCTGGTGGGTCAGGAGTTTTCTGCTTCAGTTGCAGCTCCTGGGTAGCACGTGCCAGCTCAGCAAGATCTTCTTCTCTCATACCACCTTTAACTTTCCTCAATATTTCTTTCTCAGCTTTTTCATCAGAAGAAACCTTTTGTGGATCAGGCTGCAAAAGAAGTTAAATGTTAGGAGTAATAAACAGTGCCACAAAGTTTGGCACAAAATTATTCGATTGATTACCCGCATTGCTACCACAACTTTATGAGGATTCTTCAATATGAATTTCTCAATTACAGGAGAGAGGACAGCCTTAGATCCTTCCTTTTGTATTCTGGCATTCAGTTCCATTAAAGATTTTCCAAACTTCAAAGGCTCAAAGGGTTTCATCTCATGTATCCATTTATCCTATAGAAAATTAATATATTAAGATCATGATCAATAATAAACGGCTATAATGCCCGGAAAGTTTTATGAAAGAAAACAAAAACAAAGAAAAAACAAATTAAAGAGGGGTTTATCTTACTAGGGACAGAAGCATTAAGGTCAAGCCTCGAGATTTTTTAAGGCCTCCTCTGAGAATGAACAACTCCATTGCAGTTATGGATGCTTCTACATAATGTGTATCAAAGCCTTCCTCGACAAATACTACAAGTATACTTGTGACAAATAGTTCTACCTTTAAAATGTCATCGCAAGAAACATTAAACACCGCAATGCGAAATACAGGTTGAAGGAGATGAACAATCTCGATATAAACATGATAACCATATTCCTGCAAGATTCGTGTCAAGTTTCCCATCATGAAATAAACCAAAACATCAATTGTTTGCTCAGTTTCTGTGTCTAAGGGCTTATCACAGAGCATCCAACTGAGGCATACCACATTTTCCTTCTCTAAATCACCGGATTTATCAGAAGGATAGTTCTTTAAAATCCTAACTGACTCTGAAAATAGCCTTTGTGGTTTAACCCTTGATACATTTGGAGCTGAACTTGCATCATACATGTCTAAGTACTCTGAGAGAGAGAGAGAGAGAGAGAGAGAGAGATTAGTTTTAAAATTATATTGTCCTTCACAATCAATAAAGGGAAAAACAATTACATAAATCAAGATGTTAGTGACCAATTATTGCTCTAACAGCTGCGCATTGGTTTTCTTATTTTTAGATAACGTTTATTTTAATTCTGCAAAACAAATTGGGTATAAACTGAAATGATGGACATGACAAACTTGTATAATATACAACTGTTCAAAGTACGTCACTAAAAGGGAAAAAATGTCGTAATAGATAGTGTAAGAGGCATTTTCTATTCATGCTTTTAAATGCCAGATTAGTATCCTCAATAGTTTCTTTCTTGAACTACAGCTTCTCATCGATTTTCTTTTGGGAATTCGCCCACTATTTTAGAGAAAAGACCAAATAGTCATGCAACAAAAGAAGTTTCCAGGAAAACACAATTCATTCACATGTATGTACACAGAAATAGATTTGTTTAAATACCACTTAAAATGTGCAGGCGTTCAGTTGGATCGTCATCTCCATAAAACCATATCTTTGCGTTGCTCGGATGGTAGTTTTTCCAGTGGAACTCCTGTAATTTTATTCTCAATTCAGATTTCAGAAAGAAAAGCACTATAGCACTAAAATAGTATTTAAGGAACAATTCGCATATATGTGTGTGTGCACGTGCATGTGTGAATTCAGAGTTAGATAATTTGACAGAAGATGGTCCCATAGAAAGAAATTAATCAGGCTATTAGATATCAAAAAGAATTTTTAATACTATTATGCTACTACAAATGGTTCAGAAATTCAGATGAGTGTTCGGCTGCCTTTGAAGGCAACATGCAGAGGATTCTCCAGGGCATTCCTCAAAAAATTAGATTCTGAAGTCTAACAAAAAGAAGTTATCCTTCTGAAAATGAAGGAAACAAAAAGTCTATTGGACCGATGACCAAACCATAAAAAAATACATCCTAACGCCAAAAGACTCATAACACACGAACAACCACAGTTTTAAAGTTTATCATGGTATCTGATATAACAAAGAACTAATCTTCCTCTTCAGTGATCACAGCAAACCTTGAAGTTCTCAAATGTCAGTTGGGGAATAATGTTTGGATCCCCTGCACAGTCAAACCCGTAGGTACTGTCTGGAAAAAGGCCCTGTAGAAATGGAAACCAGATGTATGATATTAGAAATATACTGAAAGAAATTAAAAACAGAAAATATGACAGTAAGCAAGCATAATATTAATAACCAAACTGGTAGCTCTCTAGTCAGCAACGGTCAGTTGATAACAGATGACTGTGTAGCTTAATACGTGAGAAAAAGGGATTGCAGGTATATAAACAGAACAAATGACCTCAGAAAACTCTACCATTGTAGTAAGCACACGAGTATCTGATATATTGCCAGAAGCTATTATGTTTAGTAAAGTAGGTATACAACTCATTTTTAAACCTTTAGCCTAATATTATGTAGTTATGCATAAGGTAATGATTTCTATGAATAAGGAGATGATGTAGGGAAGGGGGGGGAGGGAGGGAGCGGGGAGAGACGGAAATGCTTGGTATGATATCCATCAGCAAAGAGAAAATCACAATTGCGGAAGACTATTTGGGGGCTCAAATCATAATCATTTGGGGTGTACTAAACAATAAGACTTCCCACGGAAATGAATTGAGAGAGATTGGATAAAGTTATATGCAAACCAGCAAAAATGTCACAAACATACAGAATGTACAATTAGACAAGACTTGCCTGCCAAGCAGCCTGCCTCAGTACATTATCAGGCCCAGGCCGAGAATAGAACTCTTTCATCTTATTGAAGACAACGCCTGAAATTATGAACAATAAACATTTTAAGAGGAAATGGCACATTAGTTTCATACTTGGAAACAATGAAACTTATAACCAATTTACAGAAACACAAGAGAACTGGGCATATGTATCAAATGTCCAACCTTGATAAGATATATCTCCAGAAGGGTCGTTGAGCTCGTAATGCCAACCCTGCTCCTGGAAAATCTGGACGTCCTCCACACATTTAGGAAAGAAGACGGCATCCAGGATTACATCAATGAGATTATACAATTCCTGGTTCAATCACAAAAACCATGCAAGTTTGGAATTAATACAGATTAGCTAGATACAAACAACATAGAATAGACCCACATTGTAATTTCTTTTCCAGTTTCGCCTCTCATATTCACCTTTGTAGTTGTGCAAGCACCAGAGTAGTAGGTCTTATCAGCCATTGCTTGTGAATCCAGAATAGTACTGAAGCTCCCATTTTCCAACTCATCAAATGGTTTTTTCACCGGGTACTATCTCGACCCACATAACACACTGTGATGCAGTATGCTGGCGACTCCAGTCGAATCGGTCCTTCATCAACAGTTGAATAAATTAACAAACAAATAGGCGAAAAGCCGAAAAGGGCAAATGCATTACATGAAAAGGCAGAGATTTTTGGAAGACAACTCACGGTATCGTTTGAAAAGCAATGCCGAAGACCTTTTGCCTGGCGCCATTGGACAGAGACATGACTTGGGCGCCGGTCTTTTTGTGCCGGAAGAGCACAGCGTTGGAGTCGCAGTCTCCGATGAATTCTTCGGATATCTTCTCGAAACCGAGCTTCTCCGCAACGTCGTCTGGCACACCAGGAAGCTCTGCACAGACACACACCAACAAAGGAAATAATGAAGAAAAAAATACTTCATAAATGGAAAACTTACAAAAAGAGTAGAGCTTGGATTGGGGTTTTGAGAGGCAGATGTAACTGTCGGTTGGGAGATGTAACTGAGCCGAGGACATGCCGACGGCACTTGAGAAGAGAGACGGCGGAGAGAGGAGGCGCGGTGGGACTGGGAAATGGGACAGTTGCGGTGGCGACGGTGGTTCAATTTCTCAGAGGAGAAGTTGAAATGGAGAGGAAAAATATGTGAGAAAATATGATGAAAGAGGTAAATGAAGTGGAGAGAGAGAGAGAGGGTTTATGGGGAAGCGTGACCGGCTGACCGTACTTTGATTGCAGAGCTGACCGTACGGCCAAGTTTAGCGTATTAGTGGGGCGGTGCTTTGGGAGGGAAATAATTACAACTCCTAGTAGGAAGAAGCCGAACCAAAACAAGCCAAGCCAACTCAAGCCGCCGAGTAATCATGGTGCTTAATCAAGTTCAATTAATTTTTTTTTAATTGAAATAATAATAAGAGAATAATTATTGTCAAAATTTAATTTGATGGTGGATGTAGCAATTGAATATGAACATTAAATCTTCTTCTCATCCACTAAATGTGTCAAATATTTATTTTATAATATATTGCATCTCATGTTACATTAACTATCAATAAATAACTGGGCAAAAAAATTTAAAAAAAAACTATCGATAAATAACTAAATGACTTTAATTTTCATCCTATGGATTGGTAGTGAGATCCATATATTAAAAAATAAATTAAAAACATATGACGCTCAAGCCTTAAACTATTAAAAAAGACAACATAGTGAATCCATATCAGCGTATAACATTTCGGTTGACTTAAAACTCTAACAAGCGAACCTAACTAACTATAATTATATAATATCAATTTACAATAGGATGCCTTCGTCCTTGATACTTGAGCTGCGGCAAGTGTAAATGATTATGTGATAGCTAACTAATTTTTTGTTTTTTGGACGAGTGATATTATCTATACTAAGTAGGTGGAAGTGGGCTAAGTATTATAATAAGCTAGCCATAATAATGTAGTTCAACTCTCACTTATATATGATGAGAAATACCACTAGACCGTATTATTAAGTGACTGATAACTAACTAAATTAAATATGAAAAATGAACTTTGTATGTTTTAATTTTTCCAAAGGGTTAAACAAAATATAAAATACAAAAAAATGAGTAATTACTCCAGTAAATATAAATAGCATCTGACGAAAACTAATAGCACGTTTTACAATAAACGATTAGAATGTAGAGATCTTTAAAATCCTTACAAAATGGTTCCGAAGAGGATCCTCTTCCATATAAAGAGAGTGCAGTGCAGACTATTGACAGAGAAAAAGTTTTCATGTAAATAAATGTCTGATGTCCAAAACGCACAGAAAATACGGAAAGACAGAGATAGCTACCAGAATTCAAATAATAATATTACTTTGGCTCCAAGAAAACCCTAAATCAGCTCCACGTGTCCAAGAGGCTCAACTCTAATTAGGTGCAGCAAATCTTTACCTACGGTATAGCCAACATTATCAGGACCGTTCATTTGCTAAATCACAATTAAAAATTCTTTTTACAAATCTTTTGATATTACGGTTGTCACATCCCGGCTTAGGGTCCACCACATCCCAGGCCCGCTCCACCACCATAGCACGATATTGTCCGCTTTGAGCCCCGACTATGCCCTCACGGTTTTGTTTTTGGGAACTCACACGAGAACTTCCTAGTGGGTCACCCATCATGGGATTGTTCTCGGGCGCTACTCGCTTAACTTCGAAGTTCCGATGGAACCCGAAGCCATTGAGCTCCCAAAAGGCCTCGTGCTAGGTAGGGATGAGAATATACATATAAGGATCACTCCCCTGGACGATGTGGGATGTTACAATCCACCCCCTTAGGAGCCCGACGTCCTCGTCGGCACACCACGGTCAGGGTTAGGCTCTGATACCAAATTGTCACATCCCGGCCTGGGGTCCACCACATCCCAGCCCCGCTCCACACGCTTTGAGCCCTGACTACGCCTTCACGGTTTTGTTTTTGGGAACTCACACGAGAACTTCCCAGTGGGTCACTCATCATGGGATTGTTCTCGCGCGCTACTCGCTGAACTTCGGAGTTCCGATGGAACCCGAAGCCAGTGAGCTCCCAAAAGGCCTCGTGCTAGGTAGGGATGGGAATATACATATAAGAATCACTCCCCTGGACGATATGAGATGTTACAACGGTCTAATGATATATTTATTTTTACTTGTAAATGAAGAGTTTATGTTCAATCCTCATTGATGGCGAGTTAGAATCAAATATGCAGAGTGAGGTATTCAAACTGACTGACCCAACCAACCCCCGTTTGCAGTTCAAAGGTTTACCCAGACCCATTTCCAACCACTGGGTTAAAACCTAAAATTTTTATTCTAGAAATCCAGAACATTTGTTTACTTCAACCCTTCTGGGTTAAATTTTAGCCCAAGATTATTAAATAATGAATTTAGAATATTTTTTTCTTAAAGTAACTTTTAAAAAAATTATGTAAACTATCTTAATTTAATTTCGATAAATATTGAAAAATTACTATACCGACATCGTAAAACTCGTGAAACACTATGAAAAAAATATGAAATACATAAAAAAATAATAATCTAATTATTTTAACCGTTTCATTTAAATTTGGGCCGATATATATTTTACCGTAAGATTGATCATATTAGATTTTAGCCGTTGACTTCAATAAATTTATAAATATAAAACTAATAAAAAATACACATTTATAATAGACCAACTCACTAACCCAGGAGAATTCTGGCCTAAATTTGTCCCAAAAATAAATTTCGAGTTAAAACTCATATTTGGCCTAATGGTTGGAGCAAAATGGAGTAGAACCTAAAATTTGAGTTTTACTCCAAGGGTTGGAATAGATCTCAGCCACATTCGCTTTTTCACAAGAATTAATTAATGATCCTATACCTGTAAACGGGTCGGGTTCAATCTGACCCGTTAAGTTAACAGGTCATCCGAACTCGACCCGTTAAGCTAACGGGTCACCCATTTCACCCGTTAACAATTATTATTATTATTATTATTTTTTGCATAGAGTTTATTTTTTATTGTTAAGACTTTACTGAAATTACTAAAACAGCCTCAACTAATTGGTGCTAACAGGTCTAACGGGTTAACCCAAAGTGACCTGTTATTTAACGGGTTGTTAACGGGTTCACCCGTTAGCGACCCGACCTGTTAAGGATCCACCCAAATACTAATATTAACGGATCGTGTCCAAAATGCCAGGTCTAAATGATCCTATAAAAATAGAGGAGCAGAAACTGCTAACACTGCATTAGGACACTTTTAACAGAGTAAAACAAAAGGTTACCTAGTAATAGTTTAGCAGATAGTTACCGTCAAAGATTTCCTTCTTAAGGAAATTAACAGTAAAAGGTCAGTATCTGTTTTTCACTAATAAATCTAATTACTTGGAAGCCAAGACAGAAGAAAGTGACATTCAGTTTTAATTTTGCAGCATTTTCTGAAGTAGTAGTCCTCCAGATACGATGTCGAGCTCGCTGAAGAGGGGCACTATCTTTAGTTTGAAGAGTTTAGGTCGCTTCTTTAGTGCTGCTTGGACACCCAATGGCGCTCCCACTGTGACCACAACGCCTTTGCCTTTAACTGCATCGGATGCATCTGCAAATTTCTTGAAGTCCTTCAAGCTGCACGGGGTAAAGGAAAAACAACGTAAAATCTATGCATGTATGCGCCTTAATAGATGCTATGTATATAAGAATCTAAGACGAATCATGCATCATGTTTTAGCGGCAATGAAGACGATGATACATTCACTTGGGTAAATATAACAAGTAAATTTGATCAACTATTGTTAAATTTTCCATGTAGGACGTTAAAATTCCTTTCTTTATTGTCCGTGTCTAGTTTTAGCAGAAATATAGCTCAAACTTCTTCAAAACTGTGTCAAGATGGCAACTTTAGTACTGTCAAATTCCTAGAACGCAACACAGACGACAATTTACAACCTGTTTACCTGGTTGACAATATCTCTTTATGCCTCCTCTGCCTTTCTTCTTCTGTGACTCCCGTTAAATCCCGCTTCAAAAAACTGCAGGAGGAAAATGATGGGAAAGAGTTCGTAAGATAAGCAGTAAACTAAGAAACAATTGTGGCATGGTCACAGAGCTTTTGTGTACATTAGATTTAAATGTTCAACCGTTCAAACACTCCGTTGTTTCCATCAACAGTCACAATAAGATGTAAAAATTTCTTTCTTTGTCCTTGTTCCCTTTTGTATTTGTGTCACAAACACAAGACTTCTGCAAAACAAGAAGTGAGTTAACAGTAACACACACCCGCTATAACTTTGTCATCAAGAAGTTGGTATGAATCATCTCTGAGCGCCAGCACAATGGCCTTTCTGAGAGTATCATCATCCATTTCTAATTTCCGTAGAAAATCTCCAGTTCCATCGTATACATCAAGCGTCTTTAACAAGTTAGGGTCACGATCAGACAAGAAGGAGAATACGCCTACAAAACAAATCGTCAGTGACAGTGAGGTTCTCAAACAGAAATTCAAAGTCCATGCAAATTTATAACTGAGCAGATTTGTACCTGTGTTAGTATCAAAGTAACAAGAAGCAGATGCTTCTCCACTAATTCCTACCCGATCATGCAACCATGTATCATTAATAAATTTGGATATAACAAGTGTACTTCCATTAATCCGATAACCACTGTCATGAAGGATAACAGATTTTCCAACATGATTAACCTGTAGAAGGTAAGGATTAAGAATAATATCATTCCCGCCCAAAAAAATAACTCATAACAAAAGTTACGGTGACAATTTTATTCTAACCTTTGTAGGTATTATGATGGCCTCATTTTCAGAAGGTAGTGTAGCTTTCCAAGTGGTTCTTCTTGCAAAGGGAGACTTGCTAGGCAGCAAATCCAGAAATTTGCTAACAAATTTCTGAGATTAAGATTCTTCCCTTCAGCAGTCATAATTTTGAAGCAACCTTTCTTACAAATTACTGACTTGCGAATTTCCTCTAGAGATGAAGAAATGCCGTCCCAATCTTGATAAACCTTCTTTTCAAGCGCTTGCAGAAACTCCACTTGACTAAGCACAGAGATTACACAAAATGTATAAGAAACTGACTCTGTCCCATTACTTGTCCTAAGTCGATGCTTAATTATCATACTATAAGGAAATATTTGCACAAAACTTGAAAGCTTTCCAGTTATTCATAATAAAGATAGGCTAAGATGCCAACCTACATTATTCCTCATCGCAAAGAGAT